CGTGAGATCGGTGAGTCGGGGGGGGGGGGGGGGGGGGGGGACGTTTTTTTTTTTTCCCTCTGTTATCCACTAGCCCCTTTAGTTAAACAAGTAGAGCATTGTGCTAACGACACAATGGGCTTGAAATCCCAGACAGCAAACACAAATCGTAACCCTTCCCTCTACTGTAAGCAGAGCTAGGTAATTCAGGTCCAGAACGTAAAAGTCCAGACTGGGATTTTGTTACAACGAACCAGTTGACCATAAAGAGTCACAGAGTACTCAACTGGTTGGTTGAAACAAAATCTCGGTCTGGACTTTTACTGTCTGGACCTGAATTACCCAACTCTGGTTTGGATAAGTGTCAGGTAAATGTAATGTAGTAAATTTGCTTCTCAGAATTGCAATGGAAGCAAGATTTGCGAATGATTTGATACGTAGGACTTGATAGTCAGGTCTTCAGTAGCTGCTGACTCATGGAAAGCCCCTCCATGTTGAAGCACGAGACACAGATCTTAATCTCACAGGATGATGAGTGCTGACCGTTATTCACAAGGCACAACCCTAACCCTACAGTATCTGCAATTTCACTGTCAGGTTACTGCTGGCAATTTCCACTGAACTTTAATGGAAACACAGCTTTACTCTGCACGGACTTTTCTGCTAATTAGCCAGTTCTGGGCTCACACTTTCCCAGTTTAATGTGGACTCACTGTCTAGCTCCGCTTCCTGTCTGCAGAGTCCCTGGACAAGTGGGAGCGTTTGACGGTGGCCGATGCCTTGGAAACGGTGCAGTTTGAGGACGGACAGGAGATTGTGGTCCAGGGAGAACCTGGGGATGAATTCTTCATCATCCTGGAGGTACGTGTCCAGTTTTTACCCAGCAATTCGTGTACAGTAGTTTTGTTGAAGTGAAGTGAAATAGTGTGGGGTGTGATACCAAGTGCGTGCTGTAGGGGGCGCTGTGCACAGCAGAATGGTTGTGTTTGTGTGTCCTTGAAGGGCCTTGCAGCTGTACTGCAGCGTAGATCAGAGAACGAGGAGTTCATAGAAGTAGGAAAACTGGGACCCTCCGATTACTTTGGTAAGTTTAGATTTTCATATTCTATCTCCCAGTTCCTGCTGTCTCAAGCTGTGAAAACACAGGTTACCAAGTCTGAGTTTTTATTGAAGGGACAATTCTTCACCTCAGCCAGGAGGTGGCGCCAGTGCCAGGGCCGTAACTGTTCCCCTTTTGTTCAGGTGAAATTGCCCTCCTGATGAACCGCCCCCGCGCCGCCACCGTAGTGTCCCGTGGTCCGCTGAAGTGCGTGAAGCTGGACCGGCCCCGCTTCGAGCGCGTGTTGGGGCCGTGCTCGGACATCCTGAAGCGGAACATCCAGCAGTACAACAGCTTCGTGTCGCTGTCTGTGTGACGTGGCCCCACCCTCTTTAACGCATTTTTATGATCTCTTGCCGGACCTTTCCCCCACACCCAGCTGTCAAGCCTCATCACTGTGTTATATCTGCTGGTCCGATTTTTTTTTTCTCTCTCAATGTTTTATATTATATAAGCTTCACACTCTACACAGGGACCACAGTTTCAAGTGCTCTTTATCACAATTTCACAAAAATATTTTAAATTCCTATTTCTGTACAGCAGTTATGGTCCTCCAGGTACAGAAAGTATTTTTAATGTCCGTTCTCAGAGGCTAAAGTGCCCTTTGAGTAATCTGGATTCTTTTGTAGTTTTATGATCCGTTTAATGAGATCTGGTTGCTTGACACAAATGGCCATTTCAGGTAATGGAGTTTAGGCACTGCTGTTATTCCTATGGTATGGGACCATGGTGACTTTAACTTCATTCCCGATTGGAGGTGAGAACATCGCAGACTTTCGTTATGTGTGGCTCAGCCCCTCCTCTTTCACGCTTCTTTTCTAGAACATTCCTCCTTTTTGTTCACCCGTCATGTTTGTTTGCACAGCCACGGGGGGGGGGGGGGGGATGTAGAGTTGCGTGTGCATTCGCACCGCTTGTGCCAAATGTTCCCTCGTGTATCTATGGATACAAGTCCCGCCTCCCATCATGGTGGTTGCTGATTGGCTAGTTGTGTTGGCATCGAGAAAAGGGGCTTGTTGGTAAAGTCTAGGCTGTTGATAGCAGCAATATACGCTTGATTCTCTAAAAGAATGGTTTTCTTTTGATGGAGAAAATAGGCCCTAGAGTTCCGTAGCAGCCAGGGCTGTGACACAGAGCAGGGTGCGTGCCAGTTTGACTCAATTCACACACCGTACACTCAGTCTTCCCTCTCTGTGGACCCTAAACACAATGCTAGTTTTATAAAGGAACAGGCAAACTGACGAGGGAAGCATGTGAATCGTGTCAGAATGGTAACACGTTTTTGCCGGTGTCTGCCAGCCCGTGCTCCTGCCTGCATGCAGAACCACAGCTGGGCTCCTGGTCACCTCCTCGTGGCACCTCCTCCCCGCTGCTCCTCTCTCCCACTCCTCCAAGGCCTTAAAAGCATTTTCACACGAGGCAAAGTAGAGTGCAGGAATCCTCACTGAGTCTTAATGTGTGTTGGTCTCGTGTTTCTCTGTGCACGCTGGATGAAAGGCGCTATAAACGGATTCAGCAGTTCACAGCTGCCTCTGTAGGACTCTCGATGGAGGAGAGCGAGGAGGACATTGCGTAAGAGGTTGCTGAGCAACTGCCTCCATATAAGGATGGAACCTATAGAATCTAATCACATATATAAAAAACCTATTTCTATATATTTTAAATGTATGTATGTATGTCAATTTGGCTGTAGGTATAATTTTACTCAATAGATCACCAGGAAAACTGAGACTTCCTTAGTCTCAAGGATACAGGATAACTGAGCTTTGAATGCTGGAAGTTTGCTTTCAGGGTGACAGTTCTGTCTTATCTGCTTTGATAGATATATCTGTTCACATGATTAGGTATTCATTTCATTTATTTTTTTTTAATCAAAGTGTTACATATTTTCTCACAAGCAGCAGACAAAAAAATAAAGCTGTATTTAAGCAAAAATTCTTTCCGTCTTCATTCTGTCACAAACATGCTGTCATGATTGATTACTTTCCCTTTAAATGGGATGGGTGGTACCCGGAGCCATGTGGCACGTGGCTGCTTTGGTTTGATCTGAAGTGCTGCTCGGTCCAAAAAGTTTGACGACCACTTATCTACGTGATTATGCGGTATGACTGTTGGTGCCAGATGTGTCACCTTTGCTACACCGTCTAGAGTTTATAGAAAATAGTCTGGTGAACAAAAAAAAAAAAAAACATCCGATCCATGTAATTTCTGTGGCCGAAAATATCATGTTAATGAGAGAGGACAGATGCAGATGGTCAGGCAAGGCAAACAGGAAGGCCGCAAGTATGTGACCGTTCAGTACAACGACACTACGCAGTCAGGCTCTTCAGAAAGTACAGCTGTACCATCCAGCACTTATGGAGGAGAAGGTGCATCCTGCTTGGCATTCGCCCAGTGCGCTTAATAGAAGTGGCCAGTGAGTGTGTGCATGTATTATATTTCTTGTCTTGAACTGCTTTGAAGGAAACAAGTTCTAAAGATAGAGATGACAAGCGTGTCTGTGGGGTCGCAGCCATTTATTGGTCAACCATATCGTCATCCTTACCCAGGGCCACGAGCTGCGGCTATTGGATGAAAGACCGAGATCTTTCTGCCTGGTTTATGGTCTGCACCTGGGTACTTGGGGTTTGCAGGTTTGGAGGGAACTCAAAGCAGAGCTGCCGCTCTTTCATATCGAGAAGAGTCGGCTGAGGCAGGCTGGAGCATCGCATAAGGATGCTATCTGGATGGCGTCCAAGATCACTGTTCCGGGGCAGTCCCAAGACACGCTAGAGGGATTGTGTTTCCCAGCTGGCTTCGGAATTCCTGGGGGTCCCTCTGAACAGGCCTTGGAAGGAAGCCTTGCTTTCTCACCTTGGCCATTTCCTCTTTCTGCTAATCCGCACTTTTCAACATGTCACTCACCGATTCTTCAAGTGGCAGTAGATGGCTGAATGCCATGCGTTGGCTGAGTATGCGAGCACAGAAGAAGGTCGATGCGTTTCACTTCCTCTAAGACTCAGGAACAAGGGCGCAGGTTTGAGGTCAATATTGGTAGGGACCAAAACAATCCTGCACCACCCCCCTACCCCCATATTCAAATCCATGCCCTTGCTCAGAAGTCACTACACTATTCCTGGGGGTGTCACATGACCATTGTCTTTCTCACAGCAGGTCCAGCAGATAAAAACGGCTGGTATTTTTGCTCATTTAGCTCAATGACACTCTAAAAGGGGTACTAAAAATATTACTGTAGTAAAAATTAAACATCTCTGTCTATTTAGGAAATCTCTCTGTGGACATGAGGTAGATGTTTAGGGATTAGTTATGCTGAAGACATCATGACAGAACAGACAGGTGAGATGAGAGACGTCTTCACTCACCTACAAGTGTCATTGGCTATAGTAATTAGCTGAATTCCCTTCAGCACCACAGCACACATAGCATGGAAGGGTTAGGGTTTGCCAAGATAACTATGTACGTCACAGTACCGCAACAAACAGGGCACAAGAGGATGAGTTTACCAAAATAACCAAGTAGGCCTACCCCACTTCACGGAAAACACAATATCTCACTGTCAACGTGTTTCTGTGGATGAGTGTGGAAATATTTGTAGCTGCTTTGGAATCTCAGAAAAATGCTGTTTACTTCCAGTCACAATTCAAAAATAAAATATCATGAATGTATTGAAATGATACACTGCAGACTATACACCGTCTTGTATCCGAATCAAATCTAATATGTATCTTTTTCGTTAATACAAATCTAATATAACACAGTAATCTAGTTATTTGAGAACAAGATTCGACATGGGTGTAATGCTTCCGAAATAAGACTCCTGGCCCTTTAACACCGATTCGGTCTTTTCCGGCGCCTTCGACACCACTCGGTATTTGCCGCTCCTGCTGCAGCTCGAGCTGTTGTCAACTCACACTAGCCCACAAATCACTATTTGTTACTTTTGCACTCGTCTAAAGGACTGCCGGGTGTCACGGTCTCATCTGCTGCAAATGCAGGCCATTAAATGCGTGGTTGTCGGCGACGGGTAAGAATGACCACGCCGAGCGCATCGGGGTGCAGATCTTGCGTGCAGTTCAGGCATCTGTTGGAAAACGCAATTGTTGCAAGGGAGATACGGGGCTCTTGTCTAGGCTTGGTGGATGGGTCGAAATCGCAAAGCAGATACTAATACTGAGTGAAAATAAATATTGCTCGCTGGAAATTAATTGAGTCGGTTCTGCCTAGTATTTTACATACATTAATCTTAATAAATTTGTTTTTCGATGATACACGTGAAAATACGAAATCTGCCAGACGCGTTTGTAGCGCATCCTTTTCGGAAGAAACTAAATTGCAATTCATTCATTGTCTTTATAACGAAAAATCGTCTCGTGTATAATATTTACACCATGTCGCTGTGGTACGTTTTGTTATTTTAGGCACGGACATGTCCGTCAAATTGCAGCCGTGCATGAAGAAACGGTATCTGCAGAGTCAAACATCTTATGATGTAATGCTTTTACGCCTACATGGTCCTTATGGCTGATGCACCGCGGAAAAAAAACCCTGGTATCACAGGAATGCATAATTTTTTGCAAAATGCGTGTTTATAAGGTCTCAGCAAATAACAAATTGTTTAGTTGATGCGTGACGTAAAATTATTTTGCCAGCAAAGTGAAAAGGCAGCGTTTCGGTGGACGGCATGCAAGAGCGGGGACGTGGGTTTTTTTATTATGGGCGTGGGGCTTCGGGAGGTAGTGGTGCTGGTGATATGTGGTATTGGGCTTGGACAATACGGTTCAGCATGGCTGTCGTGTGAAATGAAATGTGTAGTGACGGTCAACGTCTGCCAAAATATTAATCCTGCACCCCACGGGTCTAAGTCACAGTTGAGCGCGCCGACTGAATCAATGCCGGCTGGGGAGGCGAGCATCTCACACATACGGAATGACGTCATGTCACTCCTGGGTGTTGCCTGTACTTTGGAGACTCCCAGTTATTGGACATTTTAAAAACTGGCGTAGAAGGTATTTCTTAAAACCAGCACCTCGGTCGAAGTGTGTCGTCATTCGTTCTACTTCGGTTCAAGATAAGGATGTAGAAATTTTACCTTTTCGGGTTTTTTGAATTACCTAATGGCTTTTGAAGGAAAACTTAACTGGCCTTGTTACCCCCCCCCCCCCCCCAAAAAAAAAACAAAAAACCGATAGGGATCATAACTTAAAAAGGACCTGTTCAGTTTGACTTTTGGCATGAAAGACACCATTGAGCAGGACACTTTTTTGCTTGTGCTCCTTGTTTGCTAATACCTTATAATGATACAGAGCTCTGTGTCACCATGACGCCCATGTGTGTGACTTTATGCGGAGGTGCCCGTTTGCCTCTCTCGGAGTCCATGCTTTCTGACCTCTTTTGGTTGATGTGATTCCCAGCAGGCCCTGAAGCTGAATCCATATGTCCATGTCTGGCACGTAATGCTAGCTGGCTAAACGCGACACGAACGTGGGCATTCTGAGCCAGCCTCTAAGGTGCCCCTCTACGAGTCGGCTGCATGTTATTTACAGAAACTTTGCACAGGCAAACACTGTAACATTGTAACCTTGTTTAAGGTTTTGTTTCATTCTACATTAGCAATCTAATGAAGTTGTTGACCATCTGGGCTTGGCCCATAACCAGCAGAAAACAGCTTTGTTGTTATTTAATATTAGAATGACAAAGCAGTAATATCTGCCCCATAGTTAGATTCTTATACCTGTCTACCCCCAGCACTCTTCTGAAAATAGCATCTGAGTTTCTTCTTCGCCTCTTAATGAGTGATATGAAATGGTCAAAGGAGTTTGCCACTAGCTGGCCTGGTGGTTAATGAGCTGCCCAAAGGAGAGAGTCAAAGTGGATCGAACTGTTGGTACCAGAATGGATAAATGGCCCAGGGATCATTCTCTCACTGCCCCTTCTTCCTGTCCTTCAGTGCCGTAGGAAAGACCTGTCTGCTCATCAGCTACACCACCAATGCCTTCCCTGGAGAGTACATCCCCACTGTGTGAGTTCACACACAACACCGACATGACTCTCACTGGGGCTCACGTGTGTGAGGGTTTGATTGAGTAACCTGGGCTCTCTGTCACCTCTCAGGTTCGATAACTACTCCGCCAATGTGATGGTGGATGGAAAACCCGTCAACCTGGGATTGTGGGATACTGCTGGCCAGGAAGACTATGACAGACTCCGCCCCCTCTCCTACCCCCAGACGGTAACCAATCAGCGTCAATGTTTCACGTTTATTTCCCTTTGTTTATGTGCCTAATTTGCCATCCTGTCATCTTTTCAAAATCTGAAGCTCTGTTTTTTGGAAGCTATTGCGCCTTAATCTTGTGCAGTGCTTCACAATGTTGTTTTTTTGTTGATTGTCCAACCATTTGGACAGGTTGGTCCAACTACTTTAAATAATTTGCTCAATGACAATTCCAATCTGGTATTAAATGTCAGTCAAAATGAGGTAATCAGTGCTGTAAATGACTGCATTACATCAGTTTTTTTGAGGGGGGGTGTCCATCTGTTGCCTTGACAGGATGTTTTCCTGATCTGCTTCTCACTGGTGAGCCCCGCCTCCTTTGAGAACGTCAGGGCAAAGGTCAGTCCCACGCCGGGCTCATTCTCTCTTACTGTGGCAGCTCTATAACATAACTATATTTCTACTTAAGGATGCATGAACTTTATTTTTATTGTTTGAATATAAATGTTTGGCATCATATTGTCTTGGTCTTGGATTGAAAAAAGGTGGACATTTTTGGTTAAATGGATTATTGAGATGCTGATATTGTTAAACTTTAAAGTTTGTTATTTTGAAAGCATGCCGTCTGGTAATGACCCGCCCTGCGACTTCCCGACCCACAGTGGTACCCAGAGGTGCGCCACCACTGTCCCAACACCCCCATCATACTGGTGGGCACCAAGCTAGACTTACGGGATGACAAGGATACCATTGAGCGCCTGCGGGACAAGAAGCTGGCCCCCATTACCTACCCCCAGGGCCTGGCAATGGCCCGTGAGATCGGTGAGTCGGGGGGGGGGGGGGGGGTTGTCGAGTGTAGCCTCCTCCAGGGGTGCGTGTCTCCCGTCACCTGCAGCCAATCTGTCCCACCTAGTGGGAGAGCCTGGGAGGTGACTGTTCTCTAACGGCAGGCAAGCACAAGCTGATTCATCACCTCCAGGCTCAATGGCCAACTGCCAGGAATCTTCTGAATGCGATTGGCTTAAATTCAGCAGGAAGAATCACCAGCTGACGCCAGTTGTCAGAACAAATAAACCTTCAGATGGGTGATCCGTGGTGATGCAGCTGTAGACTAGGGCAGTGGGGGCCACATGAAGCTAAATTAAATATTGGGAGGTACACATCCCTCCCATCACATCCCTCCCATCACATCCCTCCCATCACATCCCCCCTATCGCCCGTAGTTCCGATGGCCCTGGCTGTAGAAAACGAAGCAGATAACTTGACATGTTTTTGTAGCTTAACTGATGTATACAGGAGAAGGGTTTTAGTCAGAACCGATTAAATGTAGTTGTAGAGGAAGCTGATCGAAGGCCCCCGATTGGTGGATTCAGCCCATGTGACCTGGAGTGGCTTTGAACTTAACACTGGCATTGTGTCACAGGTGCAGTGAAGTACCTGGAGTGGCTCTGAGCTTAACACTGGCATTGTGTCACAGGTGCAGTGAAGTACCTGGAGTGGCTCTGAGCTTAACACTGGCATTGTGTCACAGGTGCAGTGAAGTACCTGGAGTGGCTCTGAGCTTAACACTGGCATTGTGTCACAGGTGCAGTGAA